TTTTTTTTCTAATAAGAAAACAATTTTTTTTATTTTATTAATTAACATGACGCGATTACAATATTACACTTTAAAGCTACTATATACATATAGTATAATTACTAATATCAAAAAAATAAAAAATATAGCAAATTTAAATATTTATAAATAATGTGTTTCTAATAACTAATTCCAATAAAGATCACAAATATCCAAATAGTCAAGTACTCATGCACAAGTCTGCAATTACCACACCGTAATCAAAATCATTGATTAGTATAAGAATAAAAATATACGTTAAAATAAATTAAAAATAATATGATCAATAATGTTAAAAACATAATAAATTTAACTGTTAAGTAAAAGTTATAAATGTATAAACTATTGATTGTTTTTAATAACACGCGAATCGTACAACATTCTGATAACAAAGATGTAATCGAAAAATTTAATTTAGAAAGAAATTTTTCTCATGTCTAATGTTTATGATTTATTGGTATTATATTATGAATTATATGTAGAGGAAATAGATTGAGAGTGTGTCAAAGTTTGATTAAACAAATAAATATTGCTTTAAAATTACTTTGAAGGTGGTTTTTGGTATTAAGTTGTAGGTATTAAGTTATTGCTTTGGTTAAGTTCCACGTCAAATATTTTTACTACAATAAGAAAATATCAAAAACAAAAAATATAGTCCCATTAAAAATATAAATATTTTGTAGTTAAAAACTAAAGCAATTTTAACAGTGAAGATTTGATAACAGATAAAGTAATACAAATTTACATTCTTGTAAGTTTTTTTACTAGAATATAAAAAAAGAGTTGGGCGTAAAGCCACCTAGTTAAGTTATATACGAGTGATTGAAGTCAAATTTTGATGTCATTGGATATTCACATATTAAAGAATAATTTCTTATTAGACGATACTTGTAATTTAAACTATAATTTTTCTATAAACAATGACATTTTAAAAATATTTTCGTTATTTCTAAGCTTTTTTTAAGTATTTAACAACATTTCTGTTTTTTTTTAGTTATTCTTTTTGAAAATGTTGATATAAATTCCTATACTTGCTAAAAAAGTTTGAAAATTTAAAAACAAGGTTCCTCTTACGTTATAGTTACAACGGTTAAAATAAAAATGTCAATAATATATAAAATTTTTTACAACTTTACATAATCTTATAACAATATTTAAGCTTGTTTAAAAGTGAATTACCTGTACTTGAAAAGTATACAGAACAAGTGGATTGTATTTTATAAATAACTTATACACAGTCAATTATTAATAATTTAAGAGAGCCGTGCCACAAGCACACGGCATAAAATTGATTCTGCGATAAACACTTATTATTGTTATAGGTAGTGTTATAGTACATATTAGGCATGTTCATTTGTTAGACAAATATTGACAGGTGTACTTAATACAACTAAATAAATACTACCATTCGATTAATAATATATATTATACTCAAGACTTCAAAAGCCATTAATTATAAACTTATAACTATATTATATTATTATATATTTTATAGGCATTTATTTTTATTACTTCTTTTTTAGGTATATTTTTATATAATAATATGTTATAGTTGTATTATTATACAATATTATATACATTTTGAAGTATATAATAATAAAATATAATAATCATTGTTAAGTAAAAATTAAATATACTTAATTATTGCATAATACTTATCCAAACAGCGAGAAAAACATGTGTTATAACTGCATAAACAACCGGTTTAATTCCGTAGTTTACTACAGACGAGTTCGAAAAACTTCAGCATTCTAAATAGTTAATAATAACGGTACCTTCTTAGTCATACAAGCCTTAATTCTAATTTCAACAAAAAACCGTGCAACTCATTTTTGTTGGTTTTTTCCAACTACCAAGAAAATAACGAATAATAGGATATTTGACCCTCTTACCAACTATATCAGATTTTTCATTAGAAACCACCTTCATAATTTTATTGAGATGGAAATAAATTTTATTATTTAAAATCTAACACACACAAAATAATAAAAACACACATCTAGTAACACCAATATATATTACAAATATAATTAAAATAACCATATATATTCCTCAAATGTAATTACGTCAAATATTCAACAAATTAAAATGATCAGAAATTCTAAAATTATACTAAAATTGTACATAGTATGAAACTTAACGGACACAATAGTGTAGTAAATATTTTCGAATAGACAATAGCAGAGTATGATAACGAATAACGATGTATTACTTAACTTACCAAACTAATTTGACTTAAGTAAACAATTATTATTCTAATAAACAGATTATGGGGGATTAAATATTTAAAAATATGAACAATATTTCGAAATTTTAATAATATTCTAATACATTCTTATACACGTGTAAATAAATCGGGAATTAATTTTGAACATATTATTATATACTATACACTTTTTATAAAAACTTGTTATTAATTAACTAACTAAAAATTTCAAGTATCTACAGCTATATACTTTTTTATAGTTAGTTACACAAAGTAAAAAAAATGATTTTATCAAACCAAATTTTGCGTAAGAAAATCCTGCTTTTTCTTAATTAATTAATTTTTTTCTGTTATTTTGAAAAACATAGGCTATTTTGAACTCTACTAAGTACAAACTAGATCCAAATTACTAGCAAAAAGTTAAATATCAAATATTTTTTCAATTATAAAAAAATACACATCATTCTAAAATCAATATATATAATATATATTCATCACTCCACTTAGAATTTAAAATCGTTTGATAGTAGGACTAACCAGTCAGTAAAAAATAAAAATCCGAAATACTAGCATTGTATTTTGTAAGTTTTACCTAGTTAGTACCTTTATCGTAACATATATTTATTTATACTTTACAGTCTTTACACACTAATGATCAAGGTTAACACATATGTAATTTTCAGTATACTTATTTCGTCATACTATATTAGTATATTACATTATTCGATAAGAATGAGGGTTTATCAGTTTAATAGTGATTATAGAGTATTTAGTATATTTTAATATCATATATATTAAATAATCGATATAAATGTATGTTGTTACTTATTTGTGATCTTTAAATAAAATTAAAAAATTGAAGTAAATATATAAATTATTATATTATTATTTTCTGTCAAGTGTATGTTAAGAAAAATATGTATATATTATGTGTTTATAATAAATAAAGTATAAATGAAATAATAATTGATTCCAATAACCATTTACTCATAAATCTTAACATTGCACAATGAAAATTAATCCATTATTATTATTCATTACTTATCTAAAAAAAATTAGTAAACTTTGATTGGTTATAGAATAAATGGGATTACAAAAAGCTTGTGCATTTACAATGGCATACCTAGGTCTTTCTTACAGGAGGAGGAGCGAAATATATTTTTACCCACTCTTAAAATAAAAAAACGACTTAAAAAAGTAACGTCACAGCTACAATAATTGTATTAATAGACACAAGACTTGGGCTATTTTATACTTATAAGTTATAACATTGTAATTTGTAATACATAAAATAAGAACAATTTATTTATTTAAATATAATATAATACATATTTATAAAACTAAGTCTAACTCCTGGTTTTTTTAATGAAAAAATCATTTAATGATATCATCAACTGGTACACTGATTTCCTTGTAAATATGTAATAATTAATAACGATGTACACGTGTTATAAAGCTCATAGGGGGAGCAAATCCCTCCCCACAGGTATGCCACTGTGCGTTTAAGTCATAATGCACATTGTGCATTTAATAATAGATAAAAGAATTAAATGTATATTCAAAGTCAATTGTTAGGATTAACAAATTTTTAATCAGTACATAGTTGGATAATGTTCATAACCTATTGAAGCAGTAAAAATTCATATATTTTTAATTTCGAGTATTATTCTTGGTAGAAAAAAAGAATCAAATTGGTATTTTGAGAGGTCAAAAGTAAAAATTGTATAATTATTTTGAAAGATATTCGTGAATTATAAAAATAACAACCTAATTTTTAATAAAAAAATTAAGTTTTTTTTGTTATAACTTAAAAATGAATAACCATGGATTCTTGAAATTTTTACTGATGATTTATATTGAAATATTTTTATTGTTTTTAAACTATTTTTAGGTACAAATTTTACATTTTAAACTTTGTCTAGTATTATTTGATTTTGGCAAGACATTTTTGTTTTTGGGTAAATACAACTTAATAATACATATAACTACAAGGTTTCTCAAAAGCTATTTATATACTTATAATATCATAAATGCATAGTCACAATAATTTCTTATAAGTGTTTAAATTCAAATCTTAACAAAATTCATTAAAATTATTTTGTTTTGTACAATTATTTATATTATTTTTAAATATTCATAATTAGGATTTTAATATTTAAGTCAAGGTCTTACACAAGTTTTTCTTAAAAGAATTACAGAAAAAATTGACAACATTTTCAAAAATACTTTTTATGAGCATTTAAAATTTATGCTCCATAAAATAATGATTATCTTATTTAATCATATTTTAAAAAAGGAATAATCATAATAGATACTTGAAACCAAATATTTACCATATTTTCTGTACATGGTATGAATTTAATAATTTTTTTAACTATTTTAGATATTTGACATTTTTTATTATTTTTTTAAATATTGATAAAAAGTTTCAGTCAAATGCCTTGAAAATTTAATACAAAGTTTTTTATAAGTTGTTACTTGTTAATATAGACCAAATTATTTAAGACACATACATAAATACAACTTATTTTATTAATACTTTAAGTTAAAATTTGGACAAAATTAGATATTTGAACAAAGAATAATGATTTAAGTTGTTGTTTTTTTTTTTTTTTTGTAATTCAATCTAAATTTAAAAAAAAGTTAATAGATTTATTATTTTTATATTTAATTAATATAAATTTAAACATAACAAATATTAGTGTTCAATGGTCATATATATCACTAATAATTTATAATAATGTTGATAAAGAAAAACATAATAAGAACATTTTACCTCAGGTTTTAATCGTCTATCTTCTTCAAATTCTGAACTATGGGAAGACGTGGCAGTTACATCAGACCCATGATTCATATGTATATCATCATAAAAATTGAATGGCTGTAAATAAACAAAACACATTACATGTAATAAATAATAAATTAGTACTCTATTAATATACACATCTACATATCAACAATTCTGAGCAAGCCATATATTTTTATAATAAAAATGTGCATTTTATTGCTAGTTTTATGGATATACAATTTGAAAATTTATGTTTGAGTTTAATATTTTCTACAACATATCTATAGATTATAAAATCAATCATCCATAGTTCTTTAAATCATAAAATATAGTTAAAAAATTTAAACTTAGTCTTAACTAGATCATAATTAACTTTGAGCTTAAACATTTAAACCAAGCACCATTCCAATTTAGAATTATTACCAGATCCAATGATCAGTCATTAATAACATAGCATATAAATTGAATAAAAAAATTGAAGTTAAAAAAAAAATAATAAAAATAATAAATTATTATCAAGATGTCATATAAATTTGAACATTGAACCAATATTTAATCATTTGTAGGATTTTATATACATACAATGCATCAAGAAATCGGTCAATATAAAGGGAGAAATACACAGCTTTTTATTCATGCATTATATACCTTATTAATTATACTATATAATAGATAGTTACTCTTTCACATAATGATAGTTTGAAAAATATTGGTAAATCCATTGGATGCTTAATTATATTTTTATTGCAGATTTCAGTATATTTTACTATTTTATATTGCATATAAGACCTAGCCCTAGTTATAATGTCTATAAGTCAACCATAAATATCACTGATAAATTTATATTTTTAGGTTCTTCGCAAATCTCATAACAGAAATAAATATTTTAAGTAAAAAGCAACATACTTCAACTTAAATGAGATAATTCTATTTAACTTAAGTTTATTTTATGAGATAATCTCATTAACATCCATGTTTATCTATACTAATACGAGTAATAATTAATAATAAAACTATAAACTAATACAAAAAGTTTATATTGTTTTTTTAAAAATTAGCTGTTGTAACTCTTATTGACTAATAGAAGTCAATAAACATATTTTTAGTTGATTAGTAAATAATACATATAGTAATAATATTTTACTTTTATTATTTAAATTCACATACTATACTACTAAATATTTTTAAAATTTCACGTACATTAATCATTTAAATTCCAGTTTTTCAAACTATCCTTAACAAATGATCAAACATTCTTAAGTAATTTAAAATTGATTATTGTTGGTTATATTATAACAGTACTTATCACCTATAATCTAGGTAGTATTCAATAAGTTAATGAATATAGATTAATGTCAAACTAATTTTATAAATATTCAAGGTCACAAATATTAAACTGTTTATCTAATAGAGAAATTAAAAAATATTTTAGCCTACTCCCATTAATAATAATAAAAATAAATAATATATATAAGAATTCATTTTAAATGTATCATTTATAATTATACAGATAATAATACAAATAAAAATAATACTTTACTTTTAGTAGTACTTAGCATTTAACATTCAGGGTTTCAGACTAATCAAAAATGTTTTCATAGTTATTTATAAAAACAAAAACTGATTTTTGTTTTTAACATTTAAAGAAAATGTTAATGACAACATTAATTAAAATTTCAAATACCTACAGTCATTTGGTTTTGAATTACACTAAAAGACAAAAATCAATTTTATCAAATACACAAAATATTATTATTAGTATTTTCTTCATATGTTTTATATATTCCAACTTATAAACATAGAAAATACAGTTACAATACTTTTTAAAGGAAGCTAAAGTTAAAATTTTGATAAAATTTATAAAAATCACAAACATTCAATTTTTATAGCTGAAGGATTGAAAATTTAACACGGGGTTTCTTAAATGTAGTTTAAACAAGCAAGAATAAAATCTAAACATTATACACAATTTTTTTTTTTTAATAGATAAAATTTGAACCACTTGAAATTAGATATTTAAACAAAGAATAACAATTTTATAAATTTTAATTTTTTTAATAAAAATACCATTTGTGAGTATTTGAAATTTTTAACTTATGTTATTATATACATAGAACACATAATGACAATTATTTTTCAAATGCGATATTTTCAGAAAATTGATTTTATCTACTGTATTACTTATAGTAAAATAATAAATGATCATAAAATCAATATAAATACACTATAATATGAAATAAGTATAGACTGACACATTATCTTCATTCAGAATAGTATTTTTATATGCAATAATTTATCCATTAACATCCATTACAGTGACCTACTCAATGACGAGATACACTTAACACTTACTGTACTACAGAGCTGTTACCTACTTTCCCTACTTTTTTGTTTTATTTACATTGTGATAAATTATTAAATTACACATATAAACATTAACATAATAATAAATGTATTAATATACTTAAATTATATTATAATAATATAATATAAAATATCCTTGGCATTAGTTGGTACCTTTAATATCATCTTTCCCTTCAGAATATATAACACGAATCCAATTATTTATTATATATTTTACTAGCCGAATTACTCGGTTTTCCCATGTGTAGTTTGTGCTTTCTCAAAATGACTGTAATGACGAATAAAATTAAATTATGAATAATAAATCGGTTTTAGGAATATTTGGTACAATCTTGTGAAAAAAAAATTGGAAAAATGTTAAATAGTGTCATCACAAAATGGGAACATAAAAAAGGCCTGTTATTTTATATATATTGTGTCTATACACACATAAATAATAAACCTATAATTATACTGATTCAATAGTTACTAAAAGTTAATTAAATGAACTATAAAAACCTTAACAAAATGATCATTAAAATTAATTAATTATCGCTTATATAAATATTTATTAATATATAATTCCAAGAGGGTTGGCCAACTGTGGTGTATGTACATTTTATTCATAAAATAAAAATTTTCTTATAAATATTATGAATTTAAATTTTTTTAGTATACATTTATAAAAAATTATCAAACTATTTAAAATGTATAAATAAATATTTTGACTTTTGATATCATTGTATTTAGGTATGAAGCTAACAGACATTATATATTCCTGTTATGTTTCATAAATACCATTTATGCCAGTTATTATCTTTTTTTAAAACTTTATCAAGATGAATTCATAAAGATCCTTTATCAGTAATTTAATGTTTTAGTTAAAATAATTGCAGCACATAAGTCAAAGCATGATTAATAATAGAATACAACTTTAACTATAATTTTATGATAAAAACTTATTACATATTATATAACACATAAATATTATAAATTGTTGATTAATAAAATATACTAATTTATTAAAATTAAGTAATGAACAGTTAATTCAAAGTATATATCAATAAAGAAAATAAATGAGTTGATTGTAACTTAAAATTAAACTATTATTATTAAGCATATATAATTTGTATTTATAAGTTTTGAAGATATTGCAAATAGTTTGAACAAAGTAGGACATAAGTTATACTGGAACATATATATATATATCATATAGAGAAGTTACTCATTGTTGTTAGATAATAAGCAAAGCAATGTATTGATTGTACAATGATGTGTTTTTTAAGTGTATCATCACGTTTCAGAATAATACAAAAATTTCTTCAATTTTCAATATTGAGAGTATTTTCTGACAGTAAATTGAATGTATAATAAGTAAGTATAAGTATTTAGTATTTACATTTGTTTTAGGATGATAACTGAACTAAAAATTTCACAATAATTGTTTGAAATAGTGAATATTAATTAAAATAAATTAAACTGAATAACATAACACCAGTTTTAGATAAAATCAATTTTGACTTTTTTTGTTGTATCTAAAAATAAAATAATCATAGGTAAGTATTTAACGATTTCAGTTAAAATAGTTGAAAATGTAGTACAAGTGTTCTTGTGAGTTGCTCTTAAAGCAAATGATAAGTATCAAAAATAAAGTCATGATTTATCACATATTCAATGATGAGATGTATTGAAAATGTATTATACAGCAAAACTACATCAACAGTTTTTTTTTTCACTTTAGAAATATTAATATGTTTAACTATTAAAATAATATTATCAGTTAAGTATTAGGTTAGATACATAGATTTATTTGGGTACATTAATACTAATTTATACTATTATACTACTTTAAATTAAATTTTAAAATAGTAAATATATTCATAAAGTAGGTTAAATGTAATTAATTAAATTTTTATCAAATTATAATTTACAAAATATTTAGGAATTTAAGAACTTTTCTTAAATAATATAAAATTAGAATATGAGAATAACTAAAATTAAAGGTTTTTAAAAATTTAATAAAAAAATAAAAATATTAATAATAATGAATATTTAGCACTTACATCTGGTCGAAATTGATTTCCATAAACATGTGCACTGCATACAGGTTTTGTAAGCAACGATATAGGATCAAATCCAAGTTGTAAAAGGGTTTGTCGATTTTCTACTTTTAACTGACGAATATCTAACATTAATCTTTTTATATCACCTAAGACCTAAACATTGAATGAAAAAACGTTAATAAAGTATTATATGTAATTTTAAACAATGAAGTGTGAAACAAAGAAATCGTACATTAATACTTATAGGTGGACTTTTTAGGTCAGCTTCATTGATGAGTAAAAGAGCACGGCCATCAATGCAATGATCTTCAGTAAGTATTCGAGAATATTTACTATGACCCTTTTTCTCCAGCCAAATGGACACTTCTCGTGGATTCCAATTAATTACAGGTTCCATAATTACACTTTTTTTAAAATGTACTAGCGATAGATAAATTATGTGAATATTTAATAAAAAAAATTAGTTTTAAGCTCATGGCGCGGAATATACTTAATTTTTAATGCACTTCAAAAACTAGAGAGCTGTATATATAAACGATTGAGGACGATGAAGTCTTACAGTTCATCTAATATACTCTGAAGAACGTTGACTACGTCATTACGTAGTTAAGACTAGACAGTAATCAAGTAGTGCTCCTACCAAGCGACTAGTGACTACACTAAAAAGTAATAACTGCAAGTCTGCAACGCGCCAACGCTTAATCAGCAACTGCGACTAATACTAGATAATATATAGTGTACTTTTCGGCGAATAGTATTCATTCGTATCACGTATACTATAGTCAATGAGAGAATATATGATTTGTCATACACAAACTGATTAGTGATTACTGATAGATGTGATAGTGCTATAATGATTAATGATAAAGAAAAACAATGCTCACACATTCGCGTATGAATATGATATTATTATAACTTAAAATACCTATTTATTTATTTTTTTTGAATAAGTCACAAAATACAAAATTTTTGAGAATAGAAATAAAAACATTATTTATTTTAACAAATTATAGTCGACATTATAATTTAAAACATCACTTAAACATTGTATAGTTATTTTTCAAATGTGGTTTGACTGTTCTATGAAATGTCATGTTCTTCCCATAGAGTACCTAATATATTATATTATATTCAGTTTGTGGTAATACTCTATGGTTTATCTTTTATCTACATAATATATATAAATGTATATAAACAAAAACACAATAATTATTTATAATATTATTAACAATGGGTATATTAAAATAAAAACGGTTAAAATATTTCAATAAATTTAATTAAAACACGATTTAGAAAAATTTAACTTAAATTATGAATCATTAAAAAAGTTTTAAATTTTAAATAACTTGGAAGTCCTTCTGTTGGTCACATTGTCAAGTACCGCCATTTTCCCGCGTTTATGGGCGCTATCTTTTGTGAATAGCTAGTCGTTTGAGTTTGTCGACCGTCGTATATCAAGCACTAAGCATCATTTGATGTATAAAATCACTTAAATTGTATAATAAAAAAATATTTTCTTTTCACTGAAATCTGCGGTGTCTTGTCGGTGTTTTCAATTATAACTTAACAATATTTTTTATTTTTCTTAACTTAATTACTCAGTAACCATGTTTGAAGCAAGACTTTTGAAAAGTGGCCAGCTCAAAAAGATTTTGGAAGCCATTAAGGAACTTTTAAAAGAAGCGACATTTGATTGTTCTGATTCTGGGATTCAACTTCAGGCCATGGATGACGCCCATGTTAGCTTAGTATCTATGTGTTTAAAAAGTACTGGTTTTGATAAGTTTCGTTGTGATCGGAACTTATCAATGGGTATTAATCTAGAAAGGTATAGTTATATAAGCACATTATTGCCTACCTGTAATATGTTGTTAAATAGTTAATGAGAACTATGTTTATTAATTTATTACATTCATGTATTATTTTAGTATGGTGAAAATTATGAAATGCTGTTCTAATGATGACATTATGACTATCAAAGCACAAGATAATGCAGATACTCTTAGTATTATGTTTGAGACATCAAACCAGGAGAAAATGTCAGACTATGAAATGAAACTTATGAATTTGGATCAAGAACATCTTGGCATTCCTGTATGTTGAAACTTAAAACATTTATATTCATATATTTTTTTGATTATATTTGTTTATTTTTAATTCAAATCTCTTAACATAGGAAATTCCCACATACGAATTATAGTTATTTTATACTATTAAAATATATTTCATATATTTTGTAAACACAATGTTTAAACTACATTATCATTTTTATGTTTGAATATTTTTTTTTTTTTTTTTATTTTTACATGATATTTACAATCTATTCGTAGAACAATAAGTAAATTTGCTAAGAGTAATAAAAACATGAAAAATTTGACGGAAGAAGCCACCCAATGATGACACTACCTATTTTGTTTCAGATTAGTAAGGGGATTTTCTAGGGGTCATGCATTTGAATATAATAATTAATTTTTTTTTTTTATTAAATATTAACCTAGTACAACTAAAATTTACATACTAATGATATTAACATCAATTTCAGACTGTTTATCTAATTATATATTTAAAAATTAATTGCTATCTACAAAAAAAGATGAATAATTTCTTTTTTTAATACTTCAGGATTAAAATCTGAACACATATAAAAAATTTTTTAGCAACATTTTCGGAATAATTTCAATTTTACTAGAAACAAAAATGGTTGATATCTAAATATTAAATTTTATTCTGTACTGAATTTTTGGTTTACTATATAAAAATTCGATTATACTAGTAGCTTAGAAAAACCTAAAAAAAATAATCAAATGAAGTATATACTAGAATAAAGTAATTTTTTGAGTATCATCAAAATAAATTAATAAATCCCCCCTCCCTATAACTGTTTTATATTTTTTTTTTTTGTCTATATTATTTAATAATTTATACCTTTCCAATTAGTCCTTAGACAATTGTTAATAAAATCAAGCATATGTTCATTCAAAATTTATAAAGATAATAATATTTGATAAAATAGTTGTATACTCATATAAAGTTAATGTTAATTTAATATACCTATAGGTATGTAGATACATTTTTGTATTCTTATATTTTAGAATATGTAATATCAACTTTTATTCAACTAATTATAACATTTTACTACATTTTCTTAGTTTCAGGAATAGAATCAAATATCAATTTCAAGTTGTTTAAAAATCACAATTAAACTTTAACTAGACTCATTGAAAGGATTGTTGCTTCAGGCTGGGGGGGGGGGGTCCTATCTAAAATAACTTTAATAAAATAATACACAAAATTAATATTTAATGTATACTCTTTACTTTTTAGTTGAAATAAATTAAATAAATGTGTATAATGGTGCATATTTTAGAAGAATTAATATAAGAGCACTAGTGGGATACTGAGATCCCAAATTAATATTAACGATATGACAACATTTAACATAATCCGCTTATATTCTTTGGTTAATCCCTCTTTAATCAATGCTACAGAAATACCCATAATTATTTATAATTAATGATTCTATCATCCATAAAATTATAAATGTTATATAATTTATTATATTGTAACATATTATTATGTCAATAACCAATATTATTAAAAATACAGTACATTAATACATTAACTTAATACTTGTACTAAACTATCATTTCAACTGCAGTTTGTTAAACATGATATTATTAATAATGTTTTCTTTTCTAAATTAATATATTTAATACTAATGATTTGTTTTTCTGAAGTGAGCTCTGCTTTAATAGATTATGTGTGTGTGTGTATATATATAATTAATAGTAAAAATTTTGATGTATTAATCTATGTTAGGGTAGTCCAGTTTTTTGCAATTGGTGGGCTAATTAACACTCATAATAACACCAAGGAAAAAGTGATATTATTTATATTTTATTTTTTTAGAAACGTATTATTTAATATACAAATTATTTTCAAATTGTAAAATTACATCACATATTAATACTAACATATAATTATGACAATTAAGTTACTTAAGAAGTCTTTTAAGGGGGAGGGGGAAAGATTTGGGGGTCGCATGTTGGACTACTCTGATCAATGTTATAACTAAGTATAATTTTTTTTCTATTTATTGTGTTTTTAAAATATTAATACTTATTGATATATAATAATCAATGGGTTTTAATTTGTTAGGACAATAGAACTTAAATATTTGATTAATAAATGCTTATACCTATTTTTATTTTAAGGAAACAAATTATTCTTGCGTAATTAAGATGCCTTCAACTGAGTTTGCAAGAATTTGCAGAGATTTGAGTCAGTTTGGAGAATCTGTTATTATTGCTTGTACCAAAGATGGTGTAAAATTCTCTACATCAGGTGACATAGGATCAGGTAAGCTAACAACATAATATTATAATTTTACAACAAAATTATTATTTTTATTTTTATTTATATAGCCAATGTCAAACTTTCTCAAAGTGCATCAATTGATAAAGAAGAAGAAGGAGTTACCATTGAAATGCAACAAGCTGTATGTTTGACATTTGCTTGTCGTTACCTGAATTTGTTTTGCAAAGCAGCTCCTTTATCTCCACAAGTACTTTATTATATTTTGCTGAAAAGTTATGTTAATATTTAACTAATTTATATATTCATTTTTAGGTTATTTTATCGATGTCTGGTGATGTTCCATTAGTAGTAGAATACCAAATTGAAGAGTTGGGTTTTATTCGGTATTATTTAGCTCCTAAAATTGAAGAAGATGATTAATTTTGATTGTATTATTTATCTAAAATAGATCTTAAGAACAAACTTATTTTTTGAGTATTTCAATAGAATTTTTTTTTGTATACACGAAAACAGTCAGTTTTAATGTTAATATTTTCATTTATTTCTATTAAATATTTACAACATTATAAGATCATAAAAAATAAAGTACTGAAAGTAATGTAATGTATAGTAATTAATAATAATTATTCAATTACTGAGCATATAATAAAAGTACATTTTTAATATTACATTTTCACATTATTTTGGGGCTTTGGGATTTGGGATAAATATAATAAATATTTACTATAAGTAGAAAATCTTTGAAAAATAATGTAAAATGAAATGAGATCCTAATTATTTTTACATCACTTTATACATTTTATTAGGATTTTACACAATATTATAATATAATTCAATATATGCAGGAAGACAATGATCTTTTTATCATTGTTGAAAAATAAATTTTAATTCTTATCATCTGCTTATTTTGTACTAGTATCAAAACTATGATATACTTAAGTAAAAGTTAAAAAAAAAAAATGCTGGAAAGTTTGAAGCGTTGCACTAAAACAAAAGTAACATTATTTCATATAAAACGGTATGAATTTGGTATGCTTTTTTCCGACACATTTGTGTTGAAAATGATCTTATAAATTACTGGAAGTAAAATTTTAAAGGAGCTTTTTATCAAAATAGATGACGTATAAGCTTGTCAATAAAAATGTAAAGAATTTAAGGTAAGTAATTTAAATTGGAGAGTTTCCATGTAAATTCAATTTTGCATTTAGCAATTGATTATATTATTCATGAACTCTAAAAATAAATTAGACCAAAAAAGTAAAAATGTAATCTACATTTGTAAACAATTATGTTAAATTAAATATTTTTATGTTGTAGGGGGTACCTCATCTTGGGCATTACAGTATTCAACCATGGCGTTAGGGCTTATAACTGTGTCGTGCAATGTTCTCATGTGTCTTAGTAGATTACTTTTTACATTAAAACCTTTATTGCAGACACCACATTGGTATGGTCGTTCACCTGTGTGTGTCCGACTATGTATCAACATGCTCGCATGCGATGGAAACGTCTTGGTACAAGTTGGGCATACTTTGCGGCCATTCATTATTCTTGGTCGCGGTCGTTTAGCTGAGGGTAATATTCCTGATCCACCACTTGCTAAACTATTTGTAATGGCCAGCTGTTCTTCTGTGTGTGCACTTTGAATATGTCGCACCCAATCACCGGGTGTCTGGTATTCTTGTTGACATAGTTCACAACGTAAGGGAGGTAACTCACCTCCGTCGTCTTCGTCCTTTTTTAATTAAAAAAAAACAACAAAATAATCATTAATATGACATTAAACCTTTAAAAATCAGTTTATCAACGATATAGATTATATGCGCATAAAATTAGTATAATAGACGTACTGTTGTTTTTCTCCGTTTTCTTTTTGGTAAATCAGTAATTGAGCCTAATTCATGAGTTTGTATGTGCCTAACCCAAAGGGCTGGTGTTCGAAATGTTTCTTGACACATATCACATGTCAATGGAGCGTAATAATCAGAATCAGCTTCCTCGTCATCATCGTCATAATTGGAATAAAGCTCCTGAAAATTGTAAAGGTTATTAAAGAAAAATATTAGGTAGGTAGTAGGTATCTACTTATTTTTTTTTTACCCACGTGCAATATAGTTAATTTATGTTCAGTAGAACCTATTTTAGATTTTTAGCTTTAATATTAGAGTGAATTGACCTAATGGTTATTATTAAACTTAAAGTTAAGAACATTAATCGTGTTTGTATAGCAAGCTTTTTAACGATGTTTCAACTTTTAAAATAAAAGTATTTTTAGTTTAACAATATTTTACGAATTCATTATAAACTACCATAAAAATGTAAACATTGAAAGAAAATCAACGTACAAAATACCAATAATGTATGTCCTTAACTTTAAATTTGATAATGATCAATTTCTCTCTACGAAAATTCTTATAATTGGTTGGGTATCTTCTAAATAATATCTTTATTTATAGCCTAATAAAAACTTCACAGTTTGGACTACTTGAAGAACATATTAGGTAACCTATTACTTTCAATAGTTTAGTGCTTGGTGAATACTTTTTAAAATCTCTTACCGGTTGAATGGTCATTTCAGTTCGATCACTGTCGTTCCATTCCAACGGTTCTTCCTTGACGGTGATTTCCAGTTGCAGTGCGTTGTGCATGGGGTCTTCGTTTTCCGAATTTTCTTTCTTCACCTCGCCGTCGTCGTTGTCCTTGTCTTTTTCGTTTTCTTTATTTTCGTTGCCATCAGACAGCACTGATAGCGGCATATCACCTTTGGACTTTTGCTTCGACTTGTCGTCCTTGTTGTTGTCGGGTGTCTGCTGTCTGGGCACAACGCCTACCGTGTTCTCGTTACTCCGGCATAGTCCTCTTACCCTCAACACTTCGCCAGCCTTTAGGACCCGGTCCAGCTGACTGTTGGTGACCGTTGCTTCGCCGCTGTACATGTATTGGAGCAATATACAAAGCGTACGATAACTGATATCGGCCGGCAGTACTATGACCAAATTATTGGACAGGCAGCTTTGGAACACCTGGTTTAGGTACGCGCTGCACGCCGACAACACGAAACGGTGCGCTGACACGTTGCGGCCGTCGGTCGTACTCAGCGTCACGTCCGTGAACGCCGTGGTGCCGTGTAACGTTGCAATAGTCGAATGTAAATGAGCACCGTGACTATGCCATTTTAATTGGTAGTTTTCAGCATTTGCCATGTTGGACATAATTCCAATGGTAATCTGCAACGAAAAAGCATTTGAATTTATTTATAGCCTTATTGTAAGTAGGTAGGTAGTTTTTTAATAATATGCATTTAATATAATCATCCAATTTCCACCAATGCCAACTCCCTTCAACATTTACATGTTATTATATTTTATCTTAAACTTATCATATTTAATTATTTATTGTATTATAAACTGTAAATACAATTGTTTATTTTATCTTTCTATGTTTAATAATTCGATAGATCTATGGAGTTGTTAAAACTGTAATATCGCTGATTTCAATCTATATATCCATGACACACGATAAATCAGTAGCTTTTTTTAATTGTATTAATCGGTACCTACTTAAGAATATTTTAATTAAAATAATAATTTTATACAAATGAAAATAGTATATATTTAATTAAATTATTCACTAAAATTTCATTAGCAACTTAGGTACTTCATTTATTTTGGTAATTAAGGTACCTATATTATTTAATAATCTATAATCTATATTATATTTATATTCAACAGGCTACAAAAGTATCAACATTTTAAAAACGATAATATTTTATTATCTTAATTATTAAGTACATTGTGCACCTAACAATTTAATATGAGTTTATGTATGTTATTAATATTATAGCAATTACTAATTATACACATTAAAATATAGGTAACATCATATTTAATTTATTAAAATTTAAAATATACATAACATTGTAATTATGATATTTGGGCTATTTATATATATGCGTTCATATAAATATAATTACATACATAAATCAAATAATAATATTGAACTATATGACAATATTATTCACATAATATTATTTTAATGTTTATAGGAGAATATCAGTGAAATAGTAAAATTTTGTTAAATATTTTATCGATAAAACTTAATATAAACAATACTTTAGATATATTTATACTTAATCGTCGTATACTCAAGTATATTGGTATAACCGGTAAGGTAGTGGGTACCAAGGTATCATACTAGACCAAGTAGACCATACTTAATACATGATTTATGAGAAGGAGGATTAGAAACTCCCAATGTACACTCTTCCCTCACTCTTTCCACGAATCGTACAAAAATAATGTTTAAAATACCTACGTATACATATAATATTTAATGTTAAGTACATTATAAACATCAAAATATTGATACAAGATGATAAACTTTTCATATAAGGTTATATTACAATTACAAATATTACAATAGCTCTATACTTCTTCAACGAAATTTTATAAACGGTTATAAATTTCTAATGGTTCCATTATTAAAACTTATGAGTCGTTAAAAGTTTATAAAAATTATACAGTATTACTCTATATTACCTATATCAATTCTCTTTTGCCCTAGGTTTTAAAGTAATGAACTATGATTTAGCGTTGAATTATTTCTATTTTAAATTTGGTTGTAGCAATAAATGTATTGATTTTACAATGATGTATTAACTATACGTTATTTTTACGGCTACTTTTTAGCAGAAAATATGTTTCATTTTAATCAATCTTCATTTTTTTATATCGAACATGGATATTTTGTCGCAAATTGAATTTAGTTTTTACTTTGAGGTAAAATTTATTACCAGTTTCTACTTTTTGAAATAATCAGGAAAAATTGAAAAAAATATATTTAATCAACGTTTAACACCATTTATTTTAGACAAAATCGGTTTTTTTTTTTTTGTAGGTAATTTGAAAATAAATAATCGTAAATAGACTGTTTTTACTTAATATTTGTATTAGTATTTTATAGCCATGATAAAATTCTTAAAAAATTTTGATTTTTTTAGCTAATTATAGACATTTTTGATTTATATTGATTAATTGTATAATATATTATATAATTTTCAACTACAATTCGTCTATAATAGGTACTAACTATTGATTATATATACACATATATATATATATTATATTTATATTAGTATCTTCTAGTATCATACTAATATTATATTATAAAATGTATTCATTTTATATATATATATATTTAAAAGCAGTTTAATTATTACCTTACTTTCAGTAATAACTTTATGTGTAAACTAGAACTGATGCATAATTTTATATTGAGGATGAGGGATGATTGATCTTATAATAATATAATATAATATAAAATAATTTTTATCTTTTTCTATAATCATTTTTGAAACTTTGAAGTGGCTTCTAATATTTAAGTGACTTTGGTTAAAAATAAAAAAAAATAGTAAAATCTTCAATTTTCATTTTTCGCCAAAATCGATTTTTTTTTTTTATTGAACTTGATTCAGACATATAGTTATAGAAATAACTGGTATTTTCATTAAATATTTATATATATCTAAATATTTTTTAAACTTAAATAATTTTTAAAATATTTTTGCTGTTTTCATGCTATTTATAAATATTTGAAATTTTAAGCTTATATAATAGTTTTGTATTCAATTAATGTACATGCGATAAGTGATAATTTGGGCCCGGATTTATATGCTCTAAAAACCTCAGAAATATGTACTATAAAATATGTCTTTATGCTCTTATTTTATAGAAATATATCCTATAAACTAAAAAATATACAAAAATATTCATTAAAAAAGTCTTTTATTTTCATTAAATATAAATAAATAAAATCGAATAAAAGTTACGCGCACTCGGATCACAACAAACACAGTTAATGTATGATTCACTAAAACTTAATAACAGGTTACTACTTGTCCCGATAGGTTTTAGATAAGATAAGAAAACGACTTTGTCAAATTACATGGACTATATGTATTCATATAACTATGAATACGTTATTTACATTATTTTTTAATATTACATATTATGCACTTAAAAACTGTATTGGTATATGCAATAAAAAATCATAAAATACAGAAATATGCAGCACATGTCAAAAAATGACAAAATATGCAAAATTAAACCTTATATTTCGGATCTATTGACTACAAATCAAACTTGAAGCTTACATAGCTATTTTTTGGACTGTTAAAAAAAACACGCAAATGCATATAATTTCGGGCCCTAGTGATAATATTTTTGTTTGTGATTAAAAATTTATGAAAATTTAATACAAGATTTTTCATAAGTTCTTATAGACATAAAAGAACATCGAAAATACGACACAAATACTTTTTAACTATTTGAATTTTAAAACATTCATAAAATACGTCAAAATCACAAAAATATAAAAAGTATTTTATAATTAATACTTTGAAAACATTTATTTAGTGTTTTAAGTTAAAGTTTAAATACATTTTATCAAAATCGCAAAATCGCAAAAATTAGTAAATTATTTTGTATTTTATTCATAACATATTTAATATATTCATACTTAAAATTTGAAATTTTATTACAAAGTTTAAGTTTTTTAAAGTAAAATAAAAAATATTACTGAAAGTTAAATTAATTTTTTATTAGCATTTGAAGTTCAAATTTTTACGACATTACATATTCATCAGTAAACTAATTATTTTTTCTGAAACGATTTTTATCATTTTATTATAATAATTAAAAAATGAATAAGAGTAGATACTTAAAATTTTAAATAAAATAAAATATTTTCTTAATTTATAACATTTTGGAACTATGGTCAATTGTTTATACTAAAATTAAACTAAGGAATTTTCAGCACTCAATTGCCTCTTTATCATTGTGGTAAAGGGCAGGTATCTGTAATTTATAATATACATATGTATATATTTAATTGTATTTATTTATTTGGTATTAAACAGGAGAGGCCCTTTAAAAATATTAACCCACAACATCTGTACGTTGTGCTTATCGTAAATAACAAATTACTGATTGTGCAATTTTTAGTCAACAATAAAATAATAAATATTTAAGTTACAGAAAATCATAATAATGTAAAGCTCACTTGCTGGGGTAGTTTTTTGCGCGATCATCGCATTTTCTGCACTATATACACTGTATAGAGTAACGATACACGAAAATCAATGCCATACGGATTTACGCGTGGGTGGAACTATCAAGTTTATTCTTAATATTTACAATGATAATAATAAAATAATTATACATTGGCTAATTGAATACGCAGAGAAATGTTCATATCTAATGGGTACTATAATATTTTAATAATGTGTAGGATAATCCACTAAAATTTGTTCACTGTAAATTATTAAGCAGAATAAATGTGTGCTTAAAAATTTGAAAAAATAATAATAATTTTGAAAAAATGCATCATTTAAAAGGAAAACGCTGGGGGATGAGCAATGAGCAATTTTGACGAATCGTTTGCAATAGTATGCACAACGCAAGACGCACCACAGCCGGTCGAAGTAGCTGGTAAATTTTAAACACATAATAAAGTTATATGCGATGTGATGATGATTCATTTACCAATAGACACTATACAATGTACATGATTTAAGCCCACTGCAGAAGCTTGAAACAATGATAATAATTACTCCTCGCGTGAATAGCCCAAGACGGCAACCGGTTTACGAACGAACTTTTTACCCCGGCGTTTCGATCACCAGCTAGAAATATAGAATTAACGTGGTATTACTTACATCGTAATAGTGTAGGTACCTATTATCGTTAGTAGCGACTCGTAAGTGTCGTAATTAGTATCGTCTTATAGACGTGCAGTGGCGGCGGCGGTGCGGACGTGCCACCACTATCTGTGTATATATATATAAGTACTATACGTGCCAAACACGCGGTACACTCGCGACCACGACAGATCACACCCGGCGTTTCCATCACACATTTTTTTTTCTTTTTACCTGCGATCGCTAGCCCTTCGTCCGGTAACGGATCCACAACGGCAAGTCACCAACTGCTACGCTGCAGCCGATGGCCCGCGACTACGACAACAAGTCCGGCAGCTGCTGACGGCGGCGATGCGTGTACGGCGGCTGCTGCACAGGGCGGACAGGCGACGCACTGGTCGGAGCGGAGAAAATAAGCGGTCGGCGAGACAGGAGCATGTACACGCGCTATACGCACACTGCACGGGGGCGGCTTGTACGGGAAACGCGCGCGGCTTCAGCGACGGTTGAGCGCAGAGAAAAAAATCGATAAACAATACTGATTATTGATTTTGGCACCGCCGATGACGCGGCGGCCGCCACTGTTCCGTAGTAGTCGCAGTAGTCGTAGCACACTATATATACCGAGCACGCGCCGCCGCCGCCGCCACCACGTTATACATCCGAACGCGCCTCTCTTCGCCCCATCTGCCCCGGCGCTGTACAGGGCGGTGGCGCCTCCGCGGCGGCGGGGGGGAGCTTATTGCCGAAAAACCCAACCTCCTTGGCAAGTCGGCGGATAGCATTAAACGACGACCGCCGTGACGCTGCAGATCATATTACTCGCTATATAATATTTTATCCATATAATATTATAATTTATATAATAAATAAATGCGTATGCTATTATATAGTTATAATATATAATAATACGATTTATATTATTATTCCTTTGTACTAATACAATATTATATGGCAAACAGTCTTATACATTAAATATAATTTGATTAACCGACTAGGGTAGTATATACGCATGTGATCTGTGCACAAGCGTTTGAGAGACTTGATTTTATATTCATTTATGACGATATCCCATCAATACTCTAACCAATCCGTAGATAATGAAACACGCAAGATGTATAAACAGTCTAAATACCTATATGGTGTACACTAGTACACTATGTACAAGTAAATTATCCATCTTGTTTTATTCGTCTACAATATGTTATAATATATTATTTAGAATCTGAGGACTAAGACGATCTTGTGAGACACATAAAGTAATACTTAATACATAGTATATACACGGAAAATATATTTTACAAAATGTTGTATTTCTGTTAAAACTAGACTTGTATATTAAATTTGAAATTTTGAATCGTGCAGTCCATCGATATTCATTTACTGTACCTATGTATATATAATACAGATCATATTTGGGTTAGTAATATTCCTATATTCTATGCGTATAATGTATATCTGTTCAGTTCACAAAGTACATACTACATATTTGACTTATAGAACCTTTTTTTCTCATCAACGTAATTAAAAATAAAACTAAAAAAAATTAATTATAAGTAGTCAAAACATTTTGAAAATTATAAATGTCAAAAATATACTAACTCAAATATTTAGTGAACATTTTCAAATATCTACGGTTAGTGATTATTTATTTTTGAATTATAATAAAAAAACAAAATTGATTTTGTTGAAAATCTCAGGTGTTGGCGTATTGTGTAATTGCGGCCAAGTACATATTCCTGTTAAGTTAGGGCACTAAATATTTTTATCCCAAAATACCAGTTGGACCCAATTTGTTACAAGAAACCTCCCTTAATATTTAAGTATTATTTCCGCTATAAAAATATTTTTAACCTAATCATAAAAATCAACCTCACACTCATCACTATTATCAGAATTTAATACAAAATAATATTTAAATATAATGTATATAAATAAATTCTTGATTAAAATAACACTACAGTGAAACCTCTATATAGTGGACAGCCACGAGGAATTAAAAATTGTCCACTATAGAGAGTTGTCCACTATTGAGAAAACCTTTACTTAGTGGACATTTACAAAAAATTACTAAATGTTCACTATAGGGAGACACTATAGGAAATTGGTTATATGTACACTGTATATGAACATATACATTGGAATATTAATTTATTATTTATATTATGTATATTATAATTAAAGCGCGGATTTTTATGCACTTAAAAGTATCGAAATATGGCATATAATATGCAGTAAAAATAATGAAAATATGCAGTCAAAATTATGAAAATATGCAAAAATATACAAGAATTTTTTATTTATTTAAAATTTACAATAAAACTTATAATAATTAATTACTTAAATACTTAATAATAAATAATTTCTAAACTTAATTTATTTTTAAAATTGTATTTATTATTAAAATTAATAATCATATGCATTTCAAGTTTTTCTTCTGTGAAGTTGTATCATTTATCGATTAACATATTTTTAAAGACTGAGAACGAACGTTTGACGTCAACCGAAGTTATTGGGGCATATTTGAAGCAACTTAGTATTGTCGGATCTTGATAAAGATCTTCAAGATGAACGTTTTCACTTAATAACACTGAATTAATTTTTCGTAGAATTTTCAGACCTTCATTTTTATTGGAAAGCTCGTTTAATTTTGTTGTAAGTGTTACACCTTTCAATCCAGGAATAGAATGCATTTTTTCTTTCGTTTCGTCAATTATTGAAAAGCTTAGATATAAAGTCATATTTCGAGTTTCCAGTTTTTTTTATGACTATTTTTATCACTAAAAATGCCAAATGAATAGATATAAATTTTAAATCATTCTACTTGACAAAATATTATCCTATACATTTTTTTAAATTTTCGCTTCAATATGCAATAAATTTTGAATTTTGTCAAAATATGCAAAAATATGCAATAACCTTCAAATATGCAGAAATATGCAAAAAAAAATTTCACCATTAGCTTCAAATTATGATAATTCGTGGAGATAACTGACAAAAATCCAAAAATATTAAAAGGAAAAAAATATGCAATGGCATAGAAATCCGCGCTCTAATTATAATATAAATATGTATATGTATGTATGTATTAAAAATATATGTATGTAGTATAAAAATGTAGGTACGTGTTCACACAATGTGCTGCACACGACTAACGACCGAACACATAACCGAACCATTAGTAATTTTTCGAATAGGAAAACCATTAAGATAAGATAAAATATGAACGAATATATAACAGATAAATATAATATTTTTATTAAACGTTTTCGATATATACATGTATTGTGTCCATTTATGAGAGGTAATTTTTAATTTGGTACCAGTTTATTGTGTCCACGTCCACTATTAGGAGTGTCCACTACTAAGAGGTTATAACTCCTATTATACGCATACATTTTTGCCGGGGAATTTAGAAGTGTCCACTATTGGGAAGGGTTCACTATTGAGAGGTGTCCATTAATAGAGGTTTCACTGTATTCAAATTCTGAATAAACTACAATAATAACTAATAAATCGAAACTAAAATATAAAATAGCTAATTAGGTATGTAGTTATAATGTATATTAAATATATTGATATTGACATATTAATATATTTAGTTATACTGTCAAATAATTTGATTTGAAAATGTATACTCTTTTTAATGATAAAATTCATATAACAAAACAACTAAATAATTCAATATTTCAAAAATTTAAACAAATTACTAGAGTTAAAATAACAATTTATTTTAGAATTTTTTTGGAAACTAACTTAGTTTTAAAATAGCCATTTCATAACTCATAATATTAAAATTATAATATCTTGTATAATATTTTTATTTTAAACATGTTAATATTGAACAGTATTTGATTGATTTAACAACTTAAAAATGCAATTAAAGTTTGGATGTTTTATTATAATTCACACTAACAATGTATTTTTGATTTAAAACAACTTTAAAATGTCTATGCGTGTGTATAAATTTACCATTACTATACATTATATTTCGTCACGACTAAACAGCATAATATAATATATAACACCTATATATTTTACATTATTCGAATATTGTTAACCGATCAATAACATTATTTCATTCAACCAACGGCGACCAGAATATCAGTAGTGTATACTTATTATTTACTTCATATTATCTACTTGTTCCGTTTACATTTCGATGCACTATTTCGATTCGAATTTATCACAATAATATTATAATATTATATTATTATGTATATCCATTTGTATGTTTTAACACTCACTCGACTGCATTATGTATAGGGTACACCCTTCTCACCGTTAATCAAAATAGGTAGCTCTACTGAGTACCCAGCTCCTACATCATGTTTTTCGTACTATTGTTTGTCTTTCTTTTTTTTTTTTATCACTATTATCATTATTGTTGTGCATATTTATATAGTTGTACATTTCTTTAAAAAAACAAAAAAAAACTAAAAATATGTTAACGACAAATGTAGACATTATCTCATGATATATAATAATTTATATGATTACATACAATATTATAATATTAAATAACGTCCGCCGACATGCAATTACAGCTGTGCAATTATTCCGAATAATATTATAGACTGTACAGGCTACAGACGTGCAGTTTATAAATAAAACAGCGTTTGTTTGCGACACACGTTAAAAATATTTCATTATATAGGTACATTAAAATATTAAATTATATTTTTACAGATTTAACAGGTAATGAAGATTATTACTTATTTATAATCATTTTTATGACAATATATTATTTATAATTTATTTTATTACTACCTATAATACGAATGGCCGCCACCACTGCAGCGTTAAAGTTTTTATTTTTATCCCAATTAGTGAGGTAGTTGCGAATAGCATCCTATTTTAACTTAAATAATAATAATAATAATAATAATAATAAACAACACATAATGAATACGTGCATAGTTAACGCATGTGAAGGCGATGTACCAAAATATGGACTGCAAGTTGCAGAGTTCGGATATTATAATTGGTTCCGTTTCGCTTCCTCGACCTGCCGGGTTTTACTAAAATACTGTTGGTTTTTATATTTTTATCTGATCCGCTATCGTTTCCGTTAAAGAAACGAGTTGTGGGAATTATGGTTTACTTTTAAGCGCGTTTTACACATTGAAAAAATATTAAAATAATATACCAAGCTGCCTAGGTATATGATAATATGTAACGTACATTATTATTTACGCAGTGATTGTGCGTATTGAATAATATAATAATAAAGAACACCCGCGACGCACGCACTTAGTACGCGCTATTGATTTTTTTCCCCCGCTAACGATATATATGCTGCATATTATTACACACACGTACATAATATCATGTATAATAATATAATAAGTTGACAAATATTTTAAAATTATTTGTATTTACGCACATATTGCATTGATAGAGTATACAATAAATTATAATTTATGTATTATACATTATTAAAGTACCTTGTACCTATATACCTATATATGCGTGTGTGATGTAGAGTCGAGATGATGAGATGTGCATATAAACGATCAAATTTGCAGTTTTTCATTTATTTTTTAGCATATAATGATTCATAGACTGTGTAACTTTATGATTTATTTAGAT